TGGGATTCGATCAATCCTGTACAAGGTGTATAGTTGCAAGTGACTAGAAATAGGAAACCATTTATATTTAATTTGCAATTCCATGCTTAAACTGTAATGTTCCAACCTAGAATTTACAGCTAAATGTGTGGAACCTTGAGAACCGGTAAGTACATAATCGCTTTAGTTCAATAGACAGAAACGTAACCTTGAGAAGGGTTAATTACCCTTTATTGCTCAAAATAAAGTTCGCAGTTGGCCCTTTCTCAGTACGTACATAAAAGCCTCCACTTAGGCTTTAGCTCAAGAATACTAAGAAATAAAACTTAACTAAGCCTAACCAAAACGATATACCCGAAGCTATCAAAATTCTACAGGCTGAACGTAGAAATAACTTAGTGTAGCCAAAAGGCAAACGCATGCTGATCAGAAACTCTGGCTCTCTAACGAAGTCAGTAGAACTTCGAATTTAAATGCTTGTTCTTTCTTCAATTGCATTTAACAGCGATTCTGAAAACACACTATGGTCTAAAGTTTGTAAGCTGAAATTAAAAGGGATAGGGAAGTAACATTAGCTAAAGATAACTGTTAACAACTTAGGATAAACCTTACAAAATAAATTTAGAAATATTATGTTTAATTTTTAAAAATCTCACAGTTCTTTTATAAGGTATTTCTCCCACTTCCCTAGCATGCCTTCGTGATGTAGTGGTTCAGCACGCTGGGCCATTCCAGAGGTCCGTGGTTCGATTCCCGGCGAAGGCGGTTGCATATTTTTCATCTCTCTGGCTTCAAAAAAAAATCCTAATGACTCTGCACTTTAACAATTGTTACTGCTGAACTGAATAAGTTTCAAATCAAATTTCATAATTTATTTGTATGAAAATATCTAAAGAACAACTCGGATTTTTACCTTAATAAATTACTTTGCATTTAATGACTAAATAATAAAAGGTTCAGTTGAAAATACAATACATTTTCTTTTATATGCACTTAAAATATTCCTAGAGCATATCAGTTATTTATGATTTTTAATTATATTTGCAGTGGCTTGCCTTAAACAACGTAATATTCTGGGCTGGTATTTGTTGCCAAAATTAGAAAAATGAATTCATATTAATATATTTATTAAATTTTGCAATGAAGATATCATTACGAAACTAACATATTAGAATATTTTTCTACTGAAATGCTGAATGCACCGTATTTTCCAAGCGTCAAATTATTTATATTTATTTATTGATGAATACTGTTTTTAATATGATAATATGAAAACAGAGTTATTCATAAATCCTTTAAACATTTAAAACATTTATAGTAAGTAAAGTACACAATTCAATTTCCTGACACTGAAGGAGTGACCAACCCATTAAACTTTCTTGACATATTTCGCAAATAACTTAATGTGTCCCACTTTCCTGATACCTAAACCATTTCGCCCCACAAACATATTTATTTATATGTCACGATATCCTACTGCCGCAAGACGATATGGTTGCAAAGATGCCGAAAATTAGCAGAGAGTAGAAGCTCAAAGAGAGAGTGTCCTTAACAAACTACCGTAAGAATAAAGCAGGTGGGATTAAATCGGAATATTATGGTCGCCACCACAATAATTCTAGTTGACGTCTCCTTGAGCTGTACATTTTATCCACCTTCTTGACAAATGTTAATTGAGATATTCTCGCAAACTGTTTCGGTAATAGTCTCTTTGACAGTGAGCTGTCTTGTTCAGATGTAAAACCTTCCGGTGATGTTCTAAAATAAATCCTTCCGATGACACAGCCGTATTAGAGAAAGTGGAAGTACTGAGAGGATGAGATAGGTGTAAATAATTAATACGTAGAAAACAAATATTTTAAATGCAGTAAAATTTTATATAAATTTCATGCTTTATTTCTTGTGATTTTTGAGGATAATAGATATTTTTATACAAAAATTAATATTATAAAATTATTAAACACATTAAAACTCCATCTTTTTCCCCTAAAATATTGTGCAATGAGCACATTTTTATACATCCTGTGAATATGTTCAAATGGTTCACTTTTTAATGCTTCAAAAAGTTCACATGTGAATTTTATAAACTGAACTAACCTACTCTAGCGTATTAAATTGTGCTGTTGTCAAAATTATTTTCTTCATTTCCAGTTTTGCATTCTCAAATCTCTAAGCTCTCAATTTCTTACACACATTGTTCTTTTGATGTTATTCTCAAACGATGTGGCCTCGTGGAAACCACTTTAGAATTATTAGTACAGTTCATTATAATATTGTGTTCCCAGTACTTATATTTATCCGTTACTTATTATGTTTATCTGTTATTTTTGTTCCATAAAAACCGATGTTCTCAATTTAATGTGTGAATTTTAAATTATATTGAAATAATATTATAATCTTTTTATGTCCTAAATCATACATTTTAATAAATGCGGATATGGTGTTTACTCTGGGACTGCTCAATGCACCATAATAGGTGAACTCTAGATCCTTTAGAAAGCTTCAACTGCTCATCTCAATATTTTCTTTGTGAGCTCTTATAAAGAGTGCAATTTTTTGGTGAAGAAAGGAGTGTTAGTTAGTGAACATATGATATCATTATCAAATGACCTATGGTACATCGCTGGTTTACCCAAAACTTTTCCCTGCACCTATAAATAAATCTATTACTGGAATCATTTTGATTCAGTTATTTCGTATCAATTCATATCATTCTATGCTTGCGATATCTTATGCTTATGATATCAATTTCTATCATTCTAGGCTTATGGTAGTAATTCATATCATTCTATGCTTATGATATCAGTTCATATCATTGTATGCTTATGAACGTTATCATATCAATGCTTATGATGTCGTATGGTGTCATGTTTCTACATATTCTGTGCTTAGATTAAATTTATTTTATGAATATTCTATGTATTCTATGTATATTCTGTATATTCTGTCCTCTATATATTCTACATATATTGTGCTTAGATTTCAAGAATATGCTTTCAATTATTACACTTATGCAGACGTAAACAAAACAAACAAAATCTCTTAAATTCCATAAACTAAATCAATATTTTAGAGAAAAATAAAACAGCGTTATGACTACATATTTATAAGAATTTTCTACGCTTTTTGAAACATGCTTTATTTAATAAATTCAACGCTGCAAGGGAAATTTTGGGAGCAGTTTGGAATATTGTGCGCACAAAAATAGGATCTACACCAAAAGTTTGTGCCGAACGAGCAGTTGAAATAGCTCAATGTGAAATCCCTTTTACAACAGCAAATGCATTTTCCGTAGAATCTGTATAGAAATGATATAGAAAATCCGAAGACTGCTGAATCTCAGTGAAAGCTAAAAAGTATGTTGGTTTAAAAGCTGTTCTAAAAATAGCAAATCTCTGTTGGCTCAAATCGTTTCAGAATGTATGAAAGGATCTTACAGAAAATATTTGAGTACAATATACTTTTAGCTTTAAAAGGAACAGAGTACATCATACCTATAAAATGATAAGAGGAGGGATTTTAAAAAGTATAATATATTTTCGTCTGATATCCTTATATGTACGAATTTTTATTTCCTTTCTTTCTCATTTTGAGAAATACATTGAATGTTAAAATTTTTTATTCTAATCTACACACTGGGCATTTCGATGCCAAATGGAAGCATATACTTAGGTAACAAAGTTAACATTATCGCTGACATCACTAAATATTGTAATTATTGAAATTTAATACATGCTTTCATCACAATTTCAAGTCAGTTAACAGTAAAAAACATTATAGGTATTTCTTTGGAACTACATTTTAATATTTTGCTGTAATACATGAAATGGAATATAACAAGAATCATTCTGTAAGACTGAAGCAAAATAAAAACCCAGATAACGTAAAATAAAAACATATATATTTTGAGGTTAAGAGAAAGTTAAAGTATTCATAATATCAAAATATACTACTTGGAAAAATTCAATGAATTATTTAATAATTACGCGTGCGATGAAATTATTTTCCTTTTACAATGCAAAGCATCTCTTTTTAAATTTGCTAATACTGTCTTTTATACGTTTATTACACCAGAAAACCACTTTTTAACGTTGGTAATGGAATAAAAATATGTTTTTACATTACCGAGTGTTTTGCGCCTGTTACCCATAATTTAGATTGAAACTGATAGTATTAAAACAGGATTTCATTAAAAAATTCCTGGATTATTTTTAATAAATTCAGCAAATAGTTATATAATTAGATGTTTTAGGGAAAATCGTCAATGATAGTTCAAAGTTCGAGAATATTAAAATTATTTAAAATTATTTATTAATTTAATTAATTATAGGAATATTAAAATATTTTCACTTTGCGTTATAAACTATTTGCAACACAGATAACTAGTACAAAAATTTATGCAAATTTATGATTTACGTTCTGCAGCTATGTGGAAAGAATGCCACTCTTGCTGTGTTATCTGGTATTTTAAAACTATATTTTAATAATAGGCATTACGATATTTTCTGCCTGCTTTAAATTTTTGTTTCTAATTCAGATTATTTTATGGCAGTCAGTTATCTACACCAACGAAAATGCGGTAAACTAGAAAATTTCATTAATTTAGTGATTATTATAATAAAGTAAATATACCAACATATATATGCTGATAAAACTTTTGATATAATTTATTTTCTTTACAGAAAACTGTATCTTGAAGAGCACGTTTAACTGAAAGAGGTAAGTATTTACAGGTTTCTTAACTTTATGGAACGATACATTTATTTAGCAAAACATGAGGTTCAAAAACATTTGCTTTTGTTCACTTTGCCATTATACGCGATTAAAATCCTCAAGTATTTAATGTCATATATATACGAAAGCAATAATATCAAAAGATGAGCGGACAGTTAAACATGGTTCAGTTAATGTTGAGTTAAAACAGTAATTTACTTTGCTTTGGAAAATTTTATTAGCCTTTTACAGCATTTACTAAGAGTAAGTAAATCTGACCTCTAAGTAAAAATTCTCAATAGACTTACCGCCCCTGACGTGGACTTCTCTACTGACAATACTGCCTACTATATTTGAGGCAGAACATCTATAAACGGCAGAATGTATATCTTGCCTATAATCCTCCGCTCTAAAGGGAGAGAATACTAAGGAACCGTCAGGTCGGATGTGACGTAAGCCTGAGATCGGAGCAACTGTGGCATTGTCAATCGTTGTCCAAGTTACTTCCGGTCTCGGAGATCCGTTGGCAACGCAAGGTATAGTTACACCAGTGTTATTGTAGAACATCGCCTTGATCGGAGGTTCATGCACGAAAGATGGGCCTTGATATTTGCTTCTTCCTCCTGTAAAATAAAATTTCATGCAAAGGAAATCGTTTATATTAATTGCATTCATAAACAAATTAGAAAATCATAATCTTTATGCAGTGGATAATGGGTAACCTTTTTAACACACGATAATAAAAAATATCTTGAAACTTTAATGTTTAATTTGTTGCGACTGTGCGTTACTTTATTCATATTATAATGAGCAGAATTATTGCAACCCAGGTTTCAGTCCCGGCCACGGCATTGCTCATTTTTCATGTACTCCTGGCTTCAAGAAAACCCTAATGAATCTACAATGTTTTCCTAGTTAAATTTTCAGACTTAAGTGATGTGACAGACGATAATAATAACTGTTCGGTATAAGGTATATCCTTTTATAACATATAAGAATAATATTCAGTAAGATGTAATTACTGCAAACGTACTTAACGTGCAAGAACATATGATATACTTACAAAAGAGAAAAATGTTTGTCAGGATTTTTGTCACTGCTTTGTTGCATCATAAAATTACGGCAAAGAAAAGTTATTAATATTTCCACGAAATTTCTACTTGTTTTCGCTTGCTATAACCTCAAGATAAATATCAAGGAATAATACTTGGTATATCTTCAGAAGTCTTAAACATTTCTGCTAGGTGAAAAGCAGTAACTATGTTCATAGCTTTCATCTGGGAATGTTGTTACATATGACGGAATTTAAAAATAAAAATTATATACTTCACTTTATCGTATTTTAAGCCGAAACAAATTCTTAAAGCTTCTTCAAAACAAGTTCCTAAATCATACGTTACTTGCGTTTTGCTATATAGAATACATATTAAGTAGAAAATACAGTTATTCTGGTAAAAGAGAAAAATATATGTTATTGAATCTTACTAAAGACTTTTTTATTAAAATACTTATTTTTTATATTTTTTATTTGTAATTCATGTATGTATGCACACACTAATGCATATACATGTACACCATAATTTGCTTCATTTGAAACATGTATAATGGTCGTAACGAAACTCTTTACTGCCGCATTCTTAGACGAAAATAGTAAATTCAGTGTATATATTATCAGGTTCAATGTTCCGTCTTACTTTCTTTGGGAACATGCAAGAACCTGACTCGGAACGGAGAGCTTACTAAAGCTATGTTCAATAACTGTGGGAAGTAGACAGGATACACAAGAAGGGTATACAAAACCCTTTATTTTTCTCTCTTTACAATAACTTCCGTACTTCGGTATACAAAGACCCACTACTTGTGGTCTAAACGTAAGAATATAAAAATATAACTAAACTCTAATTTAACTTTGAAATAATAAACGTGGAAGATTGGCCTTATATTAACAGGAAGCCGTATGTAGTACAGAGAACTGTTAATACTACAATATGTTTAAAATTATCAAGAGGATTAAACCTCTGGCCTGGAAGGCAACCAGCAACTGAGTAAAACTTCTAAGGCAAGCGGCCTGCTTCGACTAACTCCTTCCTCTCTCTCGCTTGGCAAAAAGCCACAACTTAAGTACTTGGCGTTCGCCAGACAAATTTTGCATAAATAAGTTAACGCTTTTAATTCTGGCCGGAAGTAGAAAATAAATAAGAAGTGATAGTAAAGATTTAAAATAAAATAAACGTTAGTAAAACTTAAGATCCTTACAATATATATATATATATATATATACCCCGTCCATTAGAATTATCGGAGATTTTTAAAGCATATAAAAGAAAATTATTCTGCCTAACGTGGAATAATAACAAATAGTTTTGAAGATATTATTCTCGATACGGCGAGGTTTAGTTTTCAAAATATGTTAGAATTTTTAAAATTCCGTTTGCAGCTTCTAACAACAACTCATGTAAGTGTTGTTTAAAGTTTATCATCAAAAATGCAAATTTATAAAGAAACTATCGACTTAATGTACATACTTTTAAGGTACAGCCTGAAATTAACTCTCTCACAACGTTTTGCTGCTGAGTGCTTTCTAAGATGTTGCGTGCTGTAGATTTGTTCAAAATGGAAGTCGGGAGGGATTTGTAATTCATTTATTTCGTGATGTGAAAAAAAAGCAATGTGCTCTTCTTATTCTTTGAGTTTTGCTCTAACTTGAGGAATCGATTTATTTTTGGCTCTCATCTTTTAGATTAACATTTGCTACAAATTTTCGTGTTTTTTCGAACTTTCTTCTTTACATTAAGAATCTTCTTTGTCTTTCATTAAGAACAAAACGGAATTGTTTTTGGGAGAGTCTGCTCTTTTCCCTCCTTTTAAAGAACCTCAGAAATGAATCCTTTGAAATATTTGAAACAATAAAAAAAGGTCTTACGAAATGGCAATGCGCTTCAAAGCTTTCATTAGGAAAGTATTTCTTGAAATATACACGACTATTTAAAAAATGATTAATGGAATTCTGTAAAGACTAAAGCAGATTTTACTTTATTTATAATGACAGTAAGATGTCAGCATATGCTATATAAAAATATTCTTCATTTAGTTTTCATCTAGGTTAGTTCATTGCTAAAAATCCTTCATTAAGGTGAAATATTTATTTCGAATGCTTAAAGTTTCTGTGGTTAATTTTTTAGTTTGTGTTTTAGTATTATCCTGTCTTCCTAATTTAGACATCGCATAGACTTAGATATATGTGAGTTACTTTATATATATATATATATATGTATATATGAAAAGCAAGTCTTATAAATATGTATGTATGAGCAAAGGTATATTCGTATGTAATGTCTTACAAATTGCCATTGATGTTCTAAAGACTCTTAAAACTAATTACTCACAAACCACCAAAGAAAAAGAAAACCAAATATGTTGAAGAATTTTGTCTAAATTTTTGACAGAGTGTTTAATTTCTCAATCTTTAGAACAGCTCAAAATTAATGATCACTTAAGCAAATACAGAGGCAGTTAGCACAATTTTAGACAAACATTACTTTGATATAAGGAAATGCCTGTTTGTAAAATTTGGGTCTGCACTCTCTATAGCTATATTTTGAAAGTGTAAATTATAGACTCCTATTGGACAATTTTCGTTTCATGAAAAATGACTCTTTTAAAGAAGCAATAGAGGGAATAATATGTGTGCTCTTTCCGAAGAAAATTATTCAGATTTAGTTCTTACAAAATGCTGCGAAAGCCATAAGGTTTCGGTATCTAAAGCAACGATAGGTAATATTATCAATAAGGAAGGTAAAAAACCATAAAAAGTTTGCCTACAAGGAGAAATATTGTTCTAAATACATATCCAAGGAACGAAGGAAACTTTCGCATGTTGTAAAGATAAGAAATTTTATATTAGAAGAAACTCTTATAAAATGGTTTAATGCAGGGGTTCTCAACCGATGGTACACAAGAGAAAAGTAGGTGGTACGCAAAGAAGCAAAGCATTTTTAACAATTAAATTCAAAAATTAAAATCCCAACATCCTGATTGAGTTTTTTTTCTCTAATTTTCATAAATTTGTGAGATCTGAGCTTTGTTCAAGAGTGGTGGTGGTAGTAGTACTTTGTAGTGGTCGTAACAAAGGTTTTCAATTTTTGTTTAGATGGTACGCGTTAGTCAAAAGACTGAGAACCGCTGGTTTAATGAATCGAAAGAAATGTTCTTGAAATTTGATGAGGAACATATTTTATGCTGAATTTTCAAATATGAAATACCTTCTCTTTAGCCGCAATGCCATCAATCAGTTGAACTGCATGAAGACAAAACAAGCAGCCAATACGTTAAACTCCACTGTAAATTTCTTGGGGAAAATGGAACAAGAAACGTGTATTAAGGCCCTATTCATCCCCCAAATCCCTACTAAATCTTTTGATGTATCATCCATGGATTTTTGTGCTTTTGGACGTTTAAAAAGCGGATTGTCCATACGTCGACCTACAACCCACCTTGGACTTTGAAAAGCTGCTCAAGAGGAATGAGATAAGATACTTCTTCCGGTACTGAAAAAACGTTATTGTTTTATAAATTACGATGCATCAAGATGCGGAAGAAAAATGATTATAAAACAGAACACTAGAAACACAAAACATTTAGGTAAAATGTTCCTGAAAATACAAGGAAATTCGTTTTAAGAAATGTGCGATCAGCCTCTGTATTCTGTATGTTTCAAAGCAACCTACGTAAAATAATCAATAAAATATTTGATACAATCTTGTACGTATTTGAAATTTAACTGTTGTGTGGAGAATAAAGCATTTTCTAGTTAAAAGAAAATATTGAGTTATACACAGATGCCGAATTCTCTTGGCTGCAAAAATACTATTTATACTGACAACTAGTTTTGTTTTATCGGTGGACTGCAACTGAAAAGCATAAGTCTCCAGAGAAAATAACTTTAAAATATTCAGATACTTTTGTATAATAATTACAATAAAAATATGCGATTTTCATATACAGCTATTTTGTTTTAAGAAAGTTGATTATTTTTTTCGCAATTATTCTTTTTGAATAATTTCTTAGGTAATGGAATTGTAGTTGTTTTGTCCATGAATTTCAAGGAAGAATAGTTGCCAGAGCCTCAAGGAGGTTGGACTTCTACTTCCACCCCAGTTTTGAGGGAGATCACTCAGGGGGGGGATCCGAGGTTCTTCCACTCCTCTCCTCCTCCACCAAACCACACGAGAGGACTTTCGGTTGGACGTATATTTAGAGTGCCCCCATACCAAAAAGTCTCTGCACATTTACAAACATACATGTCACTTTTTCGGTTTTCAAAGCCAAGATCTTCGATATCGCAGTACGCTCCTCTAATCATTATATCGTAGGTAATGGAATTAATTACATGGCATTAAAATATTGATCTATCATAAATCAGATTAATAACGTGCACCACAATATGCTTGCTTTGTTGTAAAATTACATTAAATTTACTTTTTATAAAATGCATAATACTATTCTCCATAATGCTACTTAAAATTAAATTAATAAATAATTCAAAATACAAAGCATAGGACAACTCATAAAATAATGCGAATCTTAGAAAGTTTCCTCTCTTTCAAAATTGTTCTATAAATCC